TTTAAGTTTAATAATGAAATAATTTATTTTTGGTTTAATAATATAACATTTTATAAAGATAATAATTAAGTATTCTGTTAGATCTCATTGATTATCTTAATTATATTTTATATTTTTATATTTAAAATGAGATGTTTATCCTGTATTTGATTATGTTTATCTGTAGTTAGTTACACAAATTCAAATATGGAGCTTTAATAAGTTGTACTTATGCACAATATACTTGCAATCTTGAGTTTTAAGTAATATGCATTAATAAACAGTACTTTACGTATAAGAAGTGGTTTTTAAGAGTTTTTGTCAAATGATTTATAATATAGTGTAGATATGTTAATTTAGATTTAATAACAAAATAATTTGTTTTTTATTTAATAATATAATTTTTTATAAAGATAATAATTAAAAATTCTGTTATAACTCAATGATTATGTTAATTATAGTTTAGATTTTCTATATTTAAAATGAATGTTTATCTTGTATTTTACTATTTTTATCTGCGGTTAGTTAAACGAATTTAAAAATAAAGTTTTAATAAGTTGTACTTGTGCAAAATTAATTGTAATATTCAATTTTAAGTAATATACATCAATAAACAATACTTCATATATAAAAAATAGTTTTTTAAGAAATTTTGTCAAATACTTTATGATATAGTATATATTATTGTTGTATTGTTACATAGATTTAGTCGGTCAAATATACAATATAAATGTTTTAATAACTTATATAATAAATGGGTTTAATAAAATATTATTTAATTTAATTATTAAATTTGTTTTGAATAATTATTAATTAATTAACATATGTTTGGTTGAGAAACTTATACTTTATTAATATGCCGGGTAATGTTTATTTAAAATCGTTAATTAATACTCGAAGGTACTCGCGTAATGCAGGGAGATAAATCTTTATTTTAATGTTTAGATTTTTATTTTTCTCTATCGATATAATACGATTTTATGTGGTTTTGAGAAAACAACAATGTTTTTTTAATGAAATATAAATTTGAAGATAACATCAAAATTTGAAAAACAAATTGATATTAGTATCAAATTAACTATTTGATAATTCTTGTTTTTTGTGTAATTTTTTTATTATATGTTAATTTAGATTTAGTAACAAAGTAATTTATTTTTGGTTTAATAAAATAATTTTTCATAAAGATAATAATTAAAAATTATGTTAGAACTTAATGATTATCTTAATTGATAGTTTAGATTTTTAATATTTAAAATGAATGTTTATTTTGTATTTGATTATATTTATCTGCATTTAGTTACACGAATTTAAAAATGGAGCTCACGCAATACAGCGAGATAAATCTCCATTTTAATGTTTAGTTTTTATTTTTCTCTATCGATATAATACAATTTTATGTGGTTTTGAGAAAACGATAATGTTTTTTTATTTTTAATGAAATATAAATTTGAAGATAGCATAAAATTCTGAAAAAACAAATTGATATTAGTATCAAATTAACTATTTGATAATTCTCGTTTTTTGTCTAATTTCTTTAATTCAATTTTTTATTATACGTTAATTTAGATTTAATAATAAAGTAATTTATTTTTGGTTTATTAAAATGTTTTTTTTAAAGATAATAATTAAAATTCTGTTATAATTCAATGATTATCTTAATTAATAATTTAGATTTTTTATATTTAAAATGAAATGTTTATCCTGTATTTGATTATGTTTATCTGCAGTTAGTTAGACGAATTCAAGTATGGAGCTTTAATAAGTTGTACTTACGCACAATTTACTTGTAATCTTAAATTTTAAGTAATATGCATCAATAAACAATACTTTGTGTATAAAAAATCGTTTTTAAAAGTTTTTGTCAAATGCTTTATAATATAGTATAGATATTTTTTTTTATGTTCGTATTTGGTTTCACAAATTCAAAAATATCGTAATAAATACTGTTACACCGTAGGTGTATGCCATTATACGGAAAAAAAAAATTAAGACATTAAAAAATATATTAAGATGGATGTCATATCGAGAAAATAGAAATGCTTGTTTTTTATGTAATTTATTTGATTAAAATATTAGTTGTTTTTAAAATAACTAGAAGAGTACTCGCGCAATGCAACGAGACACATCTCGATTTTAACATTCTACTTTATTATTTGTCTCTGCCGATATTATAATACGATTTTATGTGTTTTTAATAAAACAATAATGATTTTATTTTTGAATAAAATATAAATTTGAAAAATAAATATATCAATGTTAATATTAAATCAACTATTTAAAGGTTTTCATTTTTTATGTAATTTCTTTAATTTATTTT